AGTAACCGTCTGTATATTTTTCGAGCTGATTATGCAGTTTTTCAGGGTTGAATTCCAGAGTAAGTTTTACAAAGGGCTTGGATATGCGTTCGTCCCCTTCTCATTCGATAAAATCCTGGAGGAAGCTCGTGCGGCCGAAGAAAATTTGTAAAAACATCCCTATCATCATTTCCAAATTTTTATGTTGTGCTTTTGCATAATTTATTCAGTTCCATCCGTACTGTTGTTGTGTTTCAGTGGTTGTTGTTGTCATCGTCATCGTTGCTCCTCATGTAATTTTTCCCCCGATCGCTTCCTGCTTCACGTGTTATTTTTACGCGTTTATCGCTTTTTTAGTTTATTTTTCTCCCATTTAATCTGTTTCATTTCCCGGTTCTTTGCAGCTCTCGGTCCTTTTTTGGTCTCGCTTATTTTCGGATGTAAATTTGCTTTTTGATTTCTTCGAAATTTAAGCTATATAAAGAATTTCTCTATTCTTTCCAACTAAAATTTGCCCTCTATTTTTCGTGCATGCAAATTTGCAAAGTTAATTTTTGTGGGGCTAAAGTACTTGCTCTGGTATTTATTGACAGATACAGAGGTTATTGACAGATACAAAGGTTGCTTTTTTTTGCCAAGAGTGAGGTGAGCTAGGGGAAAATCCTAAAATTCAATTGATACACTAACTTATAGATCTTCTCCCCAAGATCACGTATAAAAAACAACTTAATTTATATATAAAATCACTTAAAATCGACATTATGCATTGCGAGAGTAATTATTATGCGCTGCACGAAATTTAGCCTAGGTAACGATGCGCCAGGCTTGCTGGTGCGATCGTGCGTTTTTGCATGATTTCGTCTTGTAGGAAAATTGCTTGTACTACGGCTGTGGTTATAGTTTTCCACTTAGAAAATTTGGTGCCCCTGTAAGCAGGGCTGATGCTCAGAAAAATTCATCTTACGCTTGGTGGATGTAAAATCCCTGATATCGTCCAGACGCATCCACAAATTCAACGCAACTGTACCAACCACAGCTGCCTGCCTGCAGTTTATCCACATATAGTAGTTTATAAATTATATCGTAGTTTTTCGAGGGAGGGTACTAAAGGCATGTCAATATGAATAGGAATAGTTAATTGTGCAAAAAGTAATAGGAAAGTATTTCTGTCATGAACAGTTTGCGTATTACACTCTGCCGACCCAAGAAAACTTCTGCGCGTCCTAGTATTAATGCGTAGTGATGATGTTGGACGAAAGTGGCTGATATGATACTTTCGTCTTTATGCGTTTTCACCTTCTCATATATTTTGATATTTTGTCAACGACAATGCCTGTGAATGAGCCATAAATCTGTAACATAACACACTGTGGAAGTGTCTGGTGTTGTGAAAAGATGTTCCAGTTGTGCTTTTGTGGAACACATAAATGTTGTTCTTATCGCTTTAAACTTGTAGAGCGTTCCGTGCAGGTAGACTGCCACTTAAACAATTCTATAAACGTGAAGTTATTGAAAGCCGTCACAATAGCGCAACTAGATGTTGCTGGTAAAGACGGATTTTCCTATATACACGTGTAATATCAATCATTTCCTGTTATACTTGTGCTATTTTAAATACTTCAAATTCTATTAAATCGCTAGATTGGGA